AGCGGCGAGAAGCCGCCTGCCCGAGCGCGGTGGGAGGCAGCGGCCAGGAAGAGACGGGGAATGTTCGAGGAGAAGAGCCCTTTATCAAAGACCTTCTTTTATCTAATTAGGCGTGAAGAAATTCTGGAAGCCGTCCGCTGCGTGCGGATTTCTTACGCTTTTAAATCCCGTTTAGTAACTTAGTTATCTGAAAGTTTGTTAGGCAGAGTGCCAAGGGAAGCTGCCTTACTCGAACAATGGGATCGCTCCCTCTTTTTCAACGCCGAACTGTCAGTTTTTGCAGAAGCAGGCCCTAAACCACTAACTGAAGAGTGCTAATGAGATTATTTTTTTTTATTATTCCCCTCCTTTCAAAAACAGCATTCGTGGCCTGATCCTGCAGACACCGAGTAATACTGTTCACACAGGTTAATACTATCTCCAGTTTACTGGCTTTGTTCATGTGCATAAAATTACAGAACACGAATTTTTGCTGGACTAAAGTATGACGTAATCTTTGGCTAACAAAAATCTAGTAGTAGCAGCAGCAGCACTCTAAATGGTAGTAAGTTCCCATATTCATATATTGTTTAAATTAATGCGATTTACTTTTCTAATATAATCTCCATTTTAAAGGCTAAAGAATTCTAGGTTTGTGCAAACATATTAAGAACTTTTTGCAGCACAAAACCAATTTTGCTTTAACCTTTTTGTATCCCTAGTGAAACTAGCTGCGTATGTACACTAAGCTTTACAGAAAATAGGAATCTGGAAGAGTTTGAATTACAGAAAAAGGATTATAACAAAATTCCCAATGTTTCAATAATATTATTCGATAGTGACAAGTATTGTGCCAAATCCAGCTTCAAAGCATTCTCCAAAATAGCTACTCTGATGTCACACCAGTCCACAGAAGTAGATTTAGCACTATTTGACCAATGTAAAGACTGACACAGAAGTGAAAAACCGCCCAGGAAGACGACAGAAAGATGCCAAAGGGGAGATAAATAAGGCCTCATTTGGGTGGTCTCACTGTTCGATTACTGCTTATTGGCTGCACTTTTTTACCTAGACCATATGGTCCAGGCTCTTTTAAATGCTTCTTAGAAAATGGACTAACCTGGTTGTGCTCATTTACCCAGACAGGATAATCTCACTAATCTCATAATGGCCCTCAATTTTGAGCATGCACTGGCTTTTGACTAGACTTGTCTGAACAAATGCTTACCATTTTACGGATGCGTGTAAATGTGCTCTTTGCTTCCTTCCCATCGTTGTTTGCTCCTTCTTTGGCCTACTACTGTTACTATTTTTGTGAAATTATGCAGCACTTCTAAGATCTCTTCTGTACAAGCTAGTGCTGGTCTCCTATTCAGCAGCTTTTGCTGTTCTGATTCGCACTGAAGCAACTTTAGATTTTACTAAGGCAGCCAGGTTCACTGCAGGCTAGAAAATCTGCACGCGAATGGAAGGGAGTCCTTTAATGTGGCACACAGAAAGTTGCCCCGTGGAGACAGGGTGCAAACCCAGCATGCCAGCTTTCAGAACGAAGACAGACAGCGTCTCTCAGAAAGAGAATCTTTACTTCATGCGGGCAATCACTCGGTACAATCTATTGTAGTTTTGTGTTGCGTTTTTTGTTGTTCCCTTCACCCCCTGCAACTAGTTATCTCTTCCTTCAACTGCAACTTTTTATATCCTACTCTAGGAGACAAAATAGCAAGAATCTGGACCAGAAAAACATCCCACCATGCAACCAAATTGCGGTCATCTCCACAACATCCAAGGGAGTGGTGATGCCTCTTCATCTTCTCAGAGCGCCCACGCAGCAAGGTTGTCAGGAGAGAGCTCATGCCATCACAGCGGAGATGTTCGCATACAGCTAAACTCTGCCGTGGGAGAAGCCAGAGAAAATGCGAGTTCCCGGCATTCAAGGCCAGGGTCCCAAAGTCGCTCACACGGACACGCCCACAGCGAAGCAGGGGGGCTTGACGATTCTACTCCAGACTCAGAGGAACACAGTGGCAGCTCCCTCTCAGAGCTCAGATACCTCCTCCAGTGGCTGCACAAAAGTCTGCCATATATCTTGATTCTGTGTGTCAAATTGATCATGCAGCATATAATTGGTAGAGTATAACAAAATAAGGTCTGAGGGAACAGACCCTCCCCCCAAAGAGATACACTAATAACCATGCCTGAAATATAATTCAATTTATTTTTAGCTTTATTTTTATTTGCTTTATTAATCAGAAAGAGAGATTTACTAAACTACGTTTCAGTGGCTTCTGTTTCCTTTGCTGGCATATGTACGATGTGCTTAATTATTCCAGCTTGATAGTCCAAGCTATTAATTGTAATTACAAAGACATATTAGAAGTGGCTGTTTTTTTAACCCAGTTCAGTAATTTTTTTTTTAATTGTGTATAACTGACCCTTTTTTCCTAATAGGCATTTCTCTTGGAATTGGGCTGCTAACAACTTATATATATGCAAACAAAAGCATAGTAAATCAGGTTTTTCTAAGAGTAAGTATCACCCTATGCAACAAAATTCTGTAAGTTAACCAAGACCTTTATCCATCAGTTTTTGAAAGAAATGCGAATGGAGATACTGTTTTATTTACCTAATAATATTAGGTGTCAAGGTTTCAAGATGGAAGTAAACTCTTAATGCTTCTGTACAGTGTAGAGGTTCTCAGTTAAGTAAGATTTGCAAAATTCAAAAAGAGTCCCATGTCGTGTGTCATGTCCGTCCCGTCCTGTGTCGTGGTCCGTCCGTCCCCCGTCCCCCCCCCCGACTTTGAATATTGAAATCACTTCAACTGATAAAGCTTTTTGGAATTTATGGAAGAATTTCTTAACTATATTTGTGGAATCAAATAACAGTTGGCAGTTTAAACTTTCAGCTGACTCTGTTCACTCCCAAAGGAAAATCTGTTGTTTCTTCAGACTGGGGTGGGTTTTGGTTCTGTTTTTAGAAAAAACCTTGATACATGCAGAAATTGTTATGTTGAAAACATTAAAATTACTGCTTTACCTTTCCAATTGAGTTCTCCTACTTTATTTGGCCTAAAACCACTAAGATAAAATCCTCTAGTAGTAATTCTGTTCAGGTACAACAGACTTAGTGCTTTAGAGACATCTTTAAGACACCGATACTGAGATAAGGACTGTAATATGTCTTTACAATTACCTTACAGGAACGGTGCTCCAAGTTGCAATGTGCTTGGTTGCTAGTATACCTAACTGGATCATCTCTCCTCTTGTATTACACCTTTCATTCTCAGTCACTGTATTACAGGTAAGTAGAGGAACATCTCTACTCACACCATAAATCACTCAAATATTAACTGGGAACATTTTATCTGGGCTGCTGCTGTTTTTCTTTAGTTGTGGCATCTTTCATTTTAATCTCCATTCCTCCTCTTCTGCCACACTGAACGAGTGCTGTCCTTGAAAACAGTATGTTGGAATTTGCAAGATTAGACCCCATACTCGACTTAATGGCACTACTGTACCATGGGGAATGTACCTGGGTTTGATTCCTAGCTTTGACCTTGCCTTTGGAATACTAAATGTATGGCATTCTGGGGGGGTCTATGGAGTTTACGTCTCCAATTATTTTTTTTCCCTTATCACTCTCTAGCTACAGTCTTGGCTGTAAATCAGTCAAAGGCTGTATTGCTAAAATGGGAAAGAAAGCCTATCTCTAGAGGATGGGGGTTGTGATGAAGATACAGGAAGAAGGTTCAAAAATTGAAAGGTTGTCAGAGATCATAAATGATCAATTTGCAATAGAGAGTTCATTTTCTTAGCAAATGTTTTTCCTCTATGTAAACCATGTTTCCTTTTTTAATTAAGCCTGCCGTGATAATCTCTGGTTATGCTCCCCTCTAAATAGGGTGCTCCAGTAACTTCTGATAATTCTTTTTGTAGCTTAATCTTTTTAAACCCTACTGTGGATTTTATGAACTTCTGGGAGGTACTTTGGATTGTGGGAGTCACAGACTTTATTCTGAAATTCCTCTTCATGGGCTTCAAGTGCTTTATTCTCTTGGTGCCTTCTTTTATGATGTCCTTTAAATCCAAGGTAAGGAAACAAGCTATATTTTTGCTTCCTTGTGATGATTCTTTTACACTAAAATTAGCTAACTATTAAATTCTACCCAGAGAAAAGTCTTTTTAATTAAAGTTCTGTATAGAATCCACCACTACACTGTGGGCAAGAAAACCCTGTGGATTTCACGTTCTTCCCTGCTTGGTGCTAGGGAAGGTTTACAGTCTGATCTGAAACAATTGCTTGTATTATGTCATCGGATAAATAGGTTTATTTCTGTCTCTAAATGGGGGGATGAAGAAACCTTTTATTTGCTGCAATGTAAGAGCGTGTATACAGGCGGATAGCACGGAGCAGCTGATGCACAGTACATTTTTTACATGCTCAACAGTAACTGACATGGTAAGGTTTTAAGATCTGCACGTGCAAACAGCTGTATTTTCTGTGTCTTCAAAACTAATTCTGAGTTGTCTTTTTGTTAATAAACTTAAGCAATATTTGTGTCAGATCAATGAATTTGATTCATAGCTTAATTCCCCAAACCAGTGAAGTTTAATGACTTTTATAGAAGCCTGCATTGGTTGGTGCGGTATTTATTTTTATCCTCTTCCCGAGGCGAGACATGCAAAAAACAATTAAATTTTATGTTAAAATAGCAAATTACTGGTACTGTTTAAAAAAACCAAAAAACAAAAACCCGAACAAGTACAGTTTGTACATGATAGCATTTGAACAGGATGTTTTGGTAGGTTTTATCTTTTCAAATGTACCTGGATAAAGTTTTTCTCAGGGACAACCAATTTCTCTAAATACTGGTTTACAACCAAGATTTTTTTCTTTTTTTTTAAAGCTAGTGATAAAACATCCAGAAAATAATTGCTGAAGATTCCATTACACCAACTGTGACCTAAGCTGTGGCTAAATTAAAGGGGGAATCTGGTCAGTAGTAGTGGCAAAACATGGCATTATCCAGTGTACATTATAGAAAGAGTACTTCTTCCCTATTATAAATCTAGTTTTAAAGACAAACTTAAGGAAATAAAGTAAGAGCTAAGCTAAATATTTATGATTAAATATGCACACACAGTGCTCTGTGCAGGCCACTTGTGCTTTGTAGTTGTTATGCAGTAATTTTTAGGCTGTCATTGAACTCTCTTTACCTGTTCAGTCCAGCTACTCTAGACTTCTTTCTCCCCCTACCACCACCATTTTCTTATCACCCCATCCTATATAGGAGTTAATTATCACAAGATAAGGCTTCTTACACAGGCATGAAATAATACCTACAGGAAAACAGTTTGTAATTTATGTTTGTTAATAAAAGAATGGTCCTTACTTTTGTGTTTTAATGCTGAATGCAGGACATAACTCTGCTAATGACAAGCTGATGTACGTGGCCAAATTTGTCCTTATTTTCCTTTTTCATGTAACTTTCATTTTCTTTTTTAATGCTCGTGAAAGTCTGATAGCATTGTTAAGTAGGTAGGCATCTGACAAAGCTATCCTATTTTAGCCTAACAACTTGATTTTCTGCAGTACAGCAATCAATTGTGTTAGTGTTATTTGTACAGTTGTGGTGAGACTCATCGTCTGGTCTTTATTTTTTTCCATGCTTCAAATTTAGTTGTTTCAAGATACTATGAGAGGAAGTTACTCAAAAGAATAACAATGCATCTTTTCTCTGTATTTAAAAACCCTTTGTGTTTTAAATCTTGAGCGATTCCTTTGCATGTCTTGCTTAGGGCTACTGGTACATGCTGTTAGAAGAACTCTGCCAGTGTTACCGTATGTTTGTCCCCATACCAGTTTGGTTCCGTTATCTTATTGGCTATGGGGAGCTGGACAGTGCACTAGGATGGACCCTTGGGATATTGCTGGGCCTTCTCTACCTCATTCTAAAAGTATGTAAGCTTTATATTCCTCGCAAACTATTTTGCAGTAGTTATCACTGGAGGGTTAGAGGCATATGAACTAACACATTTCTGAATGTACCCCTATCTTTGAACTGACTTGCAAGTTGATGCTTCAGTTTAACTGATACAGCCTTCCAAAACTGATAGGAATACTGGCTCAGGGCACTAAATCATCTTTTTCCTGCACCTGTTCTGGGAATAGATTGAGGTTGCATAGCAAAGAACGCTGTTACTATAGGTCCCCTCACATCAGACATTGATCAGACTGTTACCAGATATTGAGGAAGAGAGCTTGCAAAAATAAAGGTAAAATTAATGGCTAAAAGAATCAGCATTTTCCAGGAAACTAGATTTTCTCTCTGCTAGTGCAATGCTAAACAAGTTAAACGTAAGTGTTCATACTTGCTGCCTACTTCACCAAAGAGCTAATCTGCCCCAAATATAACCAGACTCAGTACAAGTTCGGCTTTGAACATGAAAAATACTTTATAATGCTGAGGTATCTTAATTACAAGTCTAAAGGCTATTGCGTATATGATAACAATGCTGGTATATTTGCACTTGAGTACTTCATTTCAGAACCTCAACACTATTTTTCTTTTAAAGAACAGATACCTACTGGGAAAAAAACTTCAGGCTAAATTCTTAGTTTGGTTACATATTAAGCAACTAAAATAGGGTCAGTCTGAACTATAGCTTTGCTTATGTTCTTGCCAACATCAAACTAGCAGTGAGACTTTTAGCATTGGAATTCGCACAAAAGCTTGGAAGCTTTTTAGTTCACAGAGAAAAATACTAAGCATAACTCAGGCCTTCTTTCCCATTTCAGCTTTTGAGCTTTTTTGGACAATTGAGAAACTTCAGGCAGGTCCTACGGATATTTTGTACGCGACCAGTGAGTACTGAATTATTTTATGACAAAACAATAAACCTGATACTTCTTTTTTAAGTACCTCATTCCTGTATTACTTTGTATTGTTCTAGCAATAGACAACTGCATTTTTAAAGTAAACCCTGTATACTTGTTCTCCCATTTCACAGTCTGAATTCCTTGACTATGTGATTACGTTGTCATCTGAACAACAACAACAATCTATTCTGCATGTCTCTTCAGATAAACGTATGTGAAATAACATACCCTTTTTGTCCTGCTTCCTACTTTTTAAGTGGAATAAATATTGGTTGGATGCAGGCAGAGCTTTATGCTGAAACAGAGTGAGAATTGAGGCTTACCAAAATAGTTGACATGCAAGTAACTCCTGTTAGAATTGTAAGTTTCTAGATAATCTTTCTCTGTAGTAAGAGGTATTGTTTAGAGTCTGCTATTCATGCAGTAAAATGTATAGAAGATTTTGGAGCACAGTGTCATTGAACTAAAAGAATAAAAAAGCACTTCTCATTTTCTAAGTGCTATCTTGATCAAATTGGAACTTAACACAGCGTTTTGCTCAGAGCTCACTGTTAAAATAAAAATGATACAGATTTTTCCAGTAACTGATCAGGGGAAGATACTAACTAGAGAGCATGGTAAGTGGGAGCACATAAGCTTTAGGCCCCAAGACAACTATTAAAAAACTTTTTCATTGGATTGGGGATTGAATAGTTCCCCTGACGTAGCAGCCCTTATTCCCAATTCCTTTCTGGCCTCTTATTTTTGTGTTTTTGTTTTGGCTTTCCCCGTGCCCTAGAAACTAATATCTGCTGAAAATACCTTGTTTTACAGCACTATGGGGTGACAGCTAGCAAGAGACAGTGTTCTGAATCGGATGATATTTGCTCAATCTGCCAAGCTGAATTTCAGAAGCCTATTCTGCTTATCTGTCAGGTAATACACATAATCAGAATTATTTTTTGCAAGCTTAAGAATATTTTAAACAACTGGTAAACAAAACTACATAAAGTTAGATTAGTGAGTTTTCTGATTATTTTCAGAAATCAGGCTATGCAAATAATATACCGTCTTATAAATGGAAGAGCTTAGAAGCTCTAAGTTCTCATTCTTTTCATTACAGCACACATTTTGTGAAGAATGCATCTCTTTATGGTTTAATAGAGAAAAAACGTGTCCACTCTGCAGAACTGTTATTTCAGACCATGTTAACAAGTGGAAGGATGGAGCTACATCTATGCATCTACAGATTTTCTAAAGCATGTCAAACAACTTGTTTTACAGTTTGTTTGTTCAAGCTAAGGTTTTTCAGTTTACTACAGATTAAATTGTAGGTGGCACAAGGAACGAGTTTCCAAATTCTAGATATCATGCTTCTATGAAATGTTCCAGTATTTAAAACAGTGCAGAAAATGTTAACTTGACCTTCTTAAGTATAGAAAAGTAAGTTTTCAGAATGAATGGAGACAAGCCAGCATTGCTTCTCTTGTGATTCTTGTAGGAAACAATCAAGTCCTTGAAAAATGCTGCATTACTTCTTGCAGCAGCTTCTGATTTCAACATTTTATTTAAAACTTTAAGTAGAGTTCCAGACTGTACTAAATTGTATTTATCCTTCTAACATGACTCAACCCAAAACGTCAACCTACCAATTTTATTAAGATTATAAGCAAATTTTATACTCTGGACTACAGTGAGAATTAGAGCTACTTGTCACACTTGGCATTAAAGGTCCTTTAATGCTAGCCCAGTAGATCAGAGAAATTAGCTTCTTATTCATGCACCTGTAACAGCAACTATTTCTCACTGTACCTGGAGATAAGCCACAAGAATAAGACATTTCCCCTTTAGGTTCTTGTAGACTTCTAATGGATCTTTGGCTTAATACATAAACCAACCACTGATGTTAGTTTTTTACTTAGCATTTTATAAAGTTGGTATTTTTAAAACAAATCTTTAATACTATATTTTTGTCATAACAGGAACCAGATTTTCTTACAGGGGAGAATATATTTTATACTATATTTGCAATTTGTAGTATGCATAAAAATCAGAGAGAATAAATGCATTTAAATCTCTTTGTTTGGTGCATGTTGAATAAAGAAACAAGATTCATTATTGTTTCAGTATTAACTTACATGAAAGCACGTAACAGCTCACTGCTAGGTATACTTTTCCTGTTAAACTAATGTCTCTGAAAAAAACAAAAAACCTCCAAATGCTACAACTTATTCATGACTAGTCTTTATGCTAATTATAGAGCTAACTTACAGACAATCTCACCTTTTTTTCCTGCTTGTCTTTTTTCACCTTGCTATTCAGATAAGACTAAAAAAACCACTGAAACTTTTCTGATACAGCAAAGTTAAGTTGAGTTGCCATTAACTTGAGTTTGTCTTAACTGAGTATCTTTAGGAAACTTCTAAATTAGGGAAAAAACAGAATTAAAAAGTTAAACACTTACTTGATGAATAATGTAGCAACTCAAATGACCAGGCAGACTGACTGAGAACTATAAAGTTGCAGCTGACACAGCCAGATTTATAGGGCTGACAGAGCATGATGGGACAGTGCCCTTAAAGGTACAGCTAAAAGTGTAATACTAGTAGAATTTAGTATTCTGAATAAAAACCTAATGAGATGGAAGAGTCAAGCTAAGAGGTATCATTTTATGTTCAACCTGGGTTTTGCTATAGCATGCTGTCTATTTGCTAATTGTATTTTTGTTTGAAGTTTACTGCAGTTCAGAGTAAACGTGCCCTATGATTGTTCCACCACGGTATCTGAGTGCCTGGGGAAAAAAGACTCAAGCTTAAAGAAAACAGGCAAAAGCTTCTAAGTCTGTAATTGGAATCTTATGGGAGTAGAAGAGACTGGTTCTCATGGAAGCCTTTCCTAGCAGGTGAGGTATTTAGTTTGGGGAATGTACAGCTGAATGGTGTTAGAGCAGTCCTGGGGGTGGCAGGGAAGAATTGGAGCTTGGCCACAGCCAGAGCTGTGCTGTGATGGGCTCGTGCCTGTACCTCCACTATAGTCAGAACAAACTGCTCTTTGTTTCCTCAGCGAGATCTAGCTATGCCTTAGCTTGCATGTGAAGTTCATACAAGATCAGAACTGTTTGTTATTTAAATTTCATCAGTGCTGATACTCAGACTGCTGCTGCAGCAGAACTTCCCTTGAGAGATGGACAAGAACTGAATGAGTCAAGGAACAAAAGAGCGTAGGGCGAACTTAAGGTTGGATTCTGAATCTCTGATGGGCCCACAGAGACCTTGGCAGCTCACTTGGTTACACAAGCATATTTAGACCTTCCCAAACTTGATCATGAACATACAGTTTAGCTAAAGAGTGTTTTAATGTTTTTTTCTTCATACAGGTATTGTGCGAGTACTGTGTAAACAATTTGAGTACTATATTTAACTTAGTAAACAAATGGCACCTTTAAAAAAAGCTTTGCTTGTGTGAGTAAAATGCGTGACTAAGCCCGACACACAGTTCATAAGGGCAGATGTAATAAACCAACCCTTTCTAAAATACCGGGCAACATAAAAATTGTAACTTATCCTGGATTAGCTTTTCCTGGAATGCTAATACCAACAGCTTAATCACTTTTTAATTCAAAAATCCTCTCAGAGAAAATATAAACTAAAATTCATTAGACTTGGACATGATGTTAGAGCAAGGAAATGCACTTCCTAATACTCAAATATTGATTAAATTAATTGCCTCCAGTAATGGGTAGCCATTCATTAGAATTCCAGCACTCTGTGACAGACTTTCAAAAACCTTTTTAGAACAATAGGTCTAAATCACCTAGTCCATTCCTGGAATATTAACTGGGAAGGTACAGATTCTGAGATGCACCAGCTGCGTAGTACAAACAGTTGTCCTGAAAGCACTACCCTGCTGACTAAGGGAGAAAATCTGAGAAACAAGTATGCTTTCTTACTGCCTTATCCCCAAGCTGAGTTAATAGTTGCTCATGCAGCAGGGAACACAGAAGGAAGCTTGCCATTCCATCAGATAAGTTACATGGTCCTGGCACTGTGCTTTCACATTGTGTA